AGAACTCATTTTGTTTTTTTTCCTTTTCGGGGCTCTTTTTCCAAACAATTAAAATTTCAAATGTTTTTCATTATAAATTAGTAACTGTAATAGCTATAAAGGCTTTTTCCTCTTTAACTTATAGCGGTCAGCATTTTCCTGGTAAAAATGACATAAACATAGGTGGTACCTGGTAACTGCGCAAATTTAGCTTGACTATTACCTCTTGTAGCATATTTTTGAAATCACATCAAGAAAAATCTCAGAATTCAACTGGAATAAATAAATTTGCTTACTGTTAGAGAAATTACTGATAACTAAACAGTGTTTTTTTTCTTGAAATTTCAATCTAACCAAAATTATTGATTAGGTACAGTAGAACAATAATATTTTGATGTTATATATATGCCAAATCTTCACTATTGTGGTAAATCTTACTAATTGTATTTAGGCAAATCAGAAGAAAGAAATTTTTATTTGATACTGCAGTAGATAGTGGCTTTTCTTTGATAAAACAGACTTCTTCTACAAATGTATATACGGGGCTGTCAAAGTGCAAGAGTGCCGAGAAACTGACTGGGAACGAAGCGATCTGGCCGTGCAGATTTCAGCCTCGATAACGGGGCTTCTGCGGTTCTTAAGGCCAGTTGTTTTGGAGTTATAAGAAACGTGATCCGACGAGATGTTTTTCCTAGGCAGGCGAGATAAACTACATAAACAGAGGACAAAGCATGTTTACAGTGTCTTTCTTTCCTTTCTTTCCAAGCTACAAAGAGGAAATTCTGTTATTGCAGAGCTTTTGATTTTTTTAATTTTTAAGTTCACTTTTAATTTTGGTAATTCTCGCGTGTCTATATATCTGTTTGATTTTGAATTATCTGTTACAGGGATTCCGGTTCGCGTGATAGAGGTTATTGCTTTGTTTATGTCGATACAGTTATTTGTGATACAATGTTGTTTTCTTTACCTCTTTTATTGTCTGCTGGTTTTCTTCCGGTGATTTGCTTGTCTTCGGTCGTTCTTAGTGTTGTACATAAATCGTCTTTCTCAAACTGCTCAAGTATCGTCTGTCTGGCTAAGTAGCTTTGTGTAATAAGAGTGTAATCGAATACTGGCTAAAAGGAGTGGAACCTTTAGAGTTTCTTTTAAGAGCGAGAAAAGTTCTTAGTTTTAGTTAAGTCGCAATAGAAATTTCAACATACAGGACAAAAATTTATTGCATTTGCATATCGCTAATTGGAAAAAATAATATTAAAGATTTTTGCCGTTTTGAACGATTCAGTTGTATGTTAGAGTTTTTAGTTATAATTTCGTTTCGACGGTTGAGCCAGATTTCTTCTTAGTATAACTTATGTCTTTGCAAAAAGTTACGTTCTATGTCTTTTAAGTGATGGAACGTTTCGCAGTTGTTGATATGCGTTTAAATTCTATCAGTTATCGAGAAGAAAAAAGTAAAAAAATACTGCAGAAAACCATTAAATAAAATCTAATATGAAACTAAACTATACTGCATGTTAAAATAATTTCATAATTTATATTTATAGCTATTCAAGCGTTAACGTTTTAGTTTTTTTACTGCCTTATCTATTTAAACAACTAAATTTGGAAAGCAAAGTCAATCTAGAAAAGTTTTCATAATCAAACTTTTTGCTACTCCAGTTATCCGTAATTTGTTGCAGCGGTTGTGACGGTGAAGACGAAAAGTAAAGTCCAATAATTACTTTTAATAATTTTTTGGTGATATCATCTATGTTACGAGTTGGACTTGAATAAAAGTAAGGAGCAAAACAGTTTGAACTGCGTATCTTTTTCAGATACAATGGTTGAAATAACAGTCAATTTGTGAAACCACTTGCAGACAAATTGTATAAAAACTATTAGCCCTGTTGCAAGTAATGTGATATTTCTGAAGCTAATGGTTCATTAAACTTTACCAATCTGAAGAGAGTGATGAATGACAAAATCAAAACTGGTCTAAAGGATGTAGTGAAACTAATTTAAAGTTCCAAATATGAAATATTTTTAAACAAATTGTCAAATATGTCAGCCTGATATCTATTTTTGCTAATTCTTCGTCTTACTTTTTAGGTTCAAAATTCTTACCTTTGTCTGAGGCATTAGAAGAATTACGAAACTTTAAGCAAGAGTTTTTTTTTTCAAAAAAGATTATTTAGACGGCTTAAACTGATGATTCGTGGTTTAAAACAACAACTAAGTTTACATGCTCTGCTGCTATTTTTATCGTACTTATAAACTTATTCATTCAGGGAAGATTTCAAAACTTTTTTGAGATATATTTAACAGAGGAAACAGTGTTGACTTTGTTTCAACATTCTGTCAATGATTTGTTATCAAAGGTAATAAAAAAACACTTTCTTGTCTTCTTCAAAAAGACTTTTTTGTTTTTGATGATAACTTCTTAGTAACTTTTTATGAAGGTACAGCAGGGAAGAGGAAGTTACTGTTTGAAAAGTACTCTGCAGTCTTCGTTGCGAACTTCCTTTTTTTTAACTTGTTTTTTTGCTCCCTATCAATTTTTAAGTTTTTGTATTTTAATCATGTTTTTAGTCACCAGATTTATGCAACATTTAATGTTGTACTTTAAGTTTATTGCTGGAGTAAAAAGAGCTTACTGTTTCTTTTTTTTTTTTCTTTTTTGAAGTTGAACTTGACATCCTGCTAAATAGTATAACCTTTAAATGTCAAAAAGAAGCAGTAAGAAAAAAGGAAGTTTCTGCTTTCTCCCTGAAAAAAAATGTAAATAACAATTTTTTCTTCTACAGTAGGACCAGTTTTTCAAGCTGTAGTTTCTGAGACAGTGAAGCAATAAACATAAAAATAAGCCTGAAAAAATAGCTGAATTGATTTACTAAAATAATATAGAACAAAAAAAAAAAAAACAGTCACTGTTTTATTCGGTATTTTGATCCTTCAAGTGAATAACTGTGCAATTGCTGAGTATCTATAGAAAATTGAATTGGGAGGACATTCTTATGTAACATTCAAAGAAATTTATCCGAGATAATTTTGAAACAGATTACAATAGTTTCTTTTTTTGTGTTAATTGATAAACTGTAGAAGCTTTGAGGTCTAGTGAATTAAAGAAAGAGTAAAAAATAAAAGAAATTGCAGAAAAAAACGATAAATCAAAAAAAGAAAATTTAAAAGCAGATATCCGATTGAACTTATCAGCTCAGTTTTCGTGTTTTATTCACTTACCAAAGAAACTATCATTTTAATAACAGCTAGGCATCAGCTTTTTTCATACTATCTAATAATAAATTTTCATAAGTATACCTCAAGTAATATTGTAAATCTTTACACATTATTGTTACTGACTGCATTGGCTTAGTTTGAGACAATGACCGTAAAAACTTGGAAGTTGGAATTTTATAAAAAGAATTTTAGATGGTAATTTGATTTATATGGCGCAACAAAAGGAAACTGCAATCCGTCCCACTGATTTATTGAAAAAAAGTGTCTTCAGAGCTGTGTAAAGGCTGTTGTTGGTAATTACTCATTATACTCAAACGTTCCAAGAATCGGTGCTTGTAAACAACAAAGAAACATAATAGGACAACATTCAGATGCAGCTGACTGATATAAAGTTCAGAAATTGTTTTTTCATATGCCGAATAAAGAGGAAGAAAAAAAAAAGGAAAACTTTCATGTTGTCAGATTTGTCTACAGTGTAGTGACAGTTTAATTAAACGAAAACATGAAAAAAAATCAATTTAGCAGCCTAAATCTATATATGGTACTTTATCAAATCTAATAAGGATTGAGCACACTTATAAAACTGTGTTTTTTCACGCAATAGTTAATGCTGTAAAAAATTATATTTTCTGCTCAAAATTAACCAGTTGAATTGCTCTATTTACTGATAAAATGTAATGTAAAAAAGTTAAAGACCTAAACGAAAAACTCTATATTTCTTCAACACAAAACGAACTTTCCTGTAGACGTTTCTCCCCAATGCATAATATTCCGCGTTAACGCTGTGAACAAATTTTTCCATTTTCAAAACATGGGAATTTTTGAACAGCGCAAAAACTATTTTTAACTAAAAGTTGAGACGGTGATAAACTAGTTGAATGCTGCTGTTTGTTGTCGTTGTCATCGCCGTTATCACCAATGAAATTTTTCTGAGAAAGAAAACAATTCAGTTATCATATTTGTACAAATAATGCTGGTTCCCTTCAGTAGTATTAAACCTAATAAACGCTGTCGACGTATTATATAAAAATACTTTAAACCTTGGCCCAAGCAATCTCTAGTCTTTTTCTAGCATTTTTTCGACTGTTCTATCGTTCCATTGTTTGGTCAGTCAAATGTCAAAGACAATCTATTATCGTCTACGAGCGTTATTAAAACTGTAAAAATTTCTTTTCGCACTGGAAACAATTCTAAATAAGTTACTGTTTCCGCGCTGTTCCTGCTTTGCTTTCGTTTCTTCTCCTAGTCCCGTGTCCTATGGCTGACAAGCACTTCTATATGCCATAAGGAACTACCGGACGGCCATTTTTTGTTATTCTATTTTTTTAGACGACTGTTGTAAAATAATTGTTCCTTTTTGTTTCTCTGTTTGATGATCATCACACGGTCGGTAGGATAGTTGATTTCATAGATCTTGTAGCGTTCAGAATTGTCTTCTGAACCGTCAAGTGACACCACTTTGCCAAACCCTTTTTTTTGGCTCTCTTTCATGATGCTGCCGCCGTAAGGCCAACGAAGCTAAAAGACCCTTATCCACTTAACTTGCCCAACTTGTCCTATTCTATCCTCCAGCTATAAAATTTAATGTATTTAACTTCTTCTTCTGATTAACACGAACTATTGTTACATGTTGCCGGCAGCGGGTAAAAGATTACGGTCTTACTACTATTCCCCAACAATAAGGATGTTTCTGGCAACGAAGAAAGTTTCATAATCATACAAAACTAATTTTTCTTCAGATTAATTTCCGTTTCCAAATTTGGGTACTTTGCTAGCCAGCCTATTCTACTGCGTACGTAAAAGGAATGATTCCGCCTGCTTGTGCAACATCGTCCTCAGGTGTATTACATAGGAAGGATTTGCTGGAAAAACGAAGCAAGTATATCGGGTAAAAATAAACGTTTTGGTTTTATTTCGCTTTGCCAAATTTTTTTTTAATAGAAAAACTATTTGAACTTACTAGATGCTAGAGCATTATTGTGCCATCGTCATCATAATAATAGTAAAACAACAAAAATGACAACCAAGTCATCCAAAACTAATATATGAAAAACTGAACAGAAAATTTATCAGAGAAGCGGTGTGGCAATGTGAAACTTCAGGAACAAATGCGAAATTTTTTACAAAACTAATCCACTCGTGGTTACTAAAGCATACATGCAGTATTTGTACGATGAAAACAGCAATTGTTTCATTGATTGTAACAGCAACGTTCAACACGGTAAGCTGTACCTATATGGTAACCCATTAGTTGTATTTACCAATCTTAATTTAAAGTCCAATTCCTTTATATCTAAGAATCGCCGATTTCAGTCGGTCATTGTAATCCAACAGTAAATAGTGCCATTAATGAGCAGTTATCATTGTCATCTTGCAATATACGGCTGGTCAGTTCAAAACTTACTGAGTGTGCAGAAAAACTGTTGGAAACCTTACCCGGGCTTGAAACAGTCTTTTTCTGTAATTCTGGGTAACACTTTTTACCCTAAATCTTAAAACAAAGTTTTCAATGTTTAAAGAGCAAGAACCATTCTCACTACTAAAATAATGGAAAACCTCAACATCGTCTACCAAACAACATTCCAGTTCCGAAGCCAACGATTTAGCGTTACAGTTGGCCCGAGACTACACAAAGAACACCGATGCGATTGTGCTGGAACAGTAAGTTTTGCTACAGTCAAATAATCATTGAGCACCCATCAAAAAAATTTTTTTCACCTTCCCTGTTAACATGAAACATATTGGTTTAAACATTAAATACATGAAGTACGAGAAATTTCAAAACACTTAAATGTCTTACTCCAGTGCTTATCACGGTCATGTGACATCAACGATGCAGTTAAGCCCCTACAAATTTGAACACGGCGGTTCAATCACAAAACCTGAATGGGTTCATGTTGTAGGTTTTTCAGCAAAAAAATTTTTATAATCTCAAAATACTTTTCCATTTCTCAGAACCAAAGAAAATGTAAAAGGAAAAATGAAGTAAGCAACTAGAAAAGACAAATAAGAATATTTGCAACAACTGTGACGCATATATACCAGGCTCCATGCCCAGACGTTTATCGAGGGAAGTACCGCTTAACTGATGAGCAACTAAACAATGAAGAAGCCAAAACTGCAGTGGGCAAAAAGTACTCCAGTGAGGTCGAACAAATCATTCAACAGGTTTCCCTAGAATGCTTCAGAACACTCTCAAATGACCGCAAAAAACGGCTTTCTTTTTGATCATCTTCATCTTTAAAAACCGTCTTTAAAATACTGTTTGTTTGTATGAGAAAAAATTTCTTTTTAGGCCACGTCAAAAAACAGAAAAATTGCGGCTTATTTTGCTGAAGCGCTGCAATCTTGTGGTGGTCAAGTACTGCCTCCAGCCCACTACTTTTCAGATGTAGCAGGGTAATATACTACCTGTACTCTCAGAGCATACTTCCAGAATGCAGCACATTGTTCAAACAAAAATAAACCTTGTTTACTGTCTTACCACAATTCTAGCTGAAAAAAATGCGATAAATTCAGGTACGTCAGAAGCGCTGGCGGTCTAGTGGTGATAGACGAAGTGCAAACAGGATTTGGACGAGTTGGCCAAACTTTCTGGGCTTACCAGATGTATAATGATGGTAGATTTCAGCTAAAACACAGCCGCCTCACATGCACTATAAAAACTACAAATTTCTCCTTCATTTATACAATATCCACTGAAGTGCCTTCATCTGTATCTGCTCAGGTGTCAAAATAACTCACAAATGCATTGCAGATTTTACACCCGACATCATCACCATGGGTAAACCAATGGGCAATGGCTTCCCAGTATCTGCAGTCGTGACACGCAAAGAAATTGCTAACGCACTTGGGGGTCAAGTTGATTACTTTAACACGGTCAGTGGTTGATCAGAAATATCTCAAGGTTTACTGTTCTAAAAGACGAGACACTTTATTCGCTGAAGACTAATACTGTATAGTATGGAGGAAACCCAGTAGCCTGTGCTGCAGTTCTTGGGGTCCTAGAAGTTCTGAAGAACAACAATTTGCTAGAGCATTCGCAACGAATGGGTGAACTTTTCAAAGTAGAACTGAATAAGCTGAAGCAAAAACACTGTGCAATTGGGGATGTAAGGTAAGATTTAGTCCAGAGAGAGCTGTCCCTTAAATAAAAAGCTTTCATAAAAGTATGATCCGGATGCTCAATTTCTAGAGGTACCGGCATGTTTTGGGGCATAGATCTTGTCAAGGACCGGAAAACAAGAGAACCCAATGCAAAACTAGCATTAAAATTAGTAATGAAGATGAGACAAGAATATGGAATTCTCATAAATTGCGATGGCCCATACAAAAATATCTTGAAAATAAAGCCCCCTATGGTTTTTAACGAAGAAAATTTGGAGACGGTACCTCTAATCTCTTCATTCTTACAAATTCCTCAATCTCAGTTTGTTTTCAATTTCCTTCTAGACACCCACGTCCAGGTAATTATCTGGAAATGTCGGCCACTTCTCGCTATGAAAAACATTCATTTTAGATTGTGTCTGCTATCGACAAAGCATTAACAAATTTACCAACAGTTACCGGTCTTTGAACTTCTTCCAGAAACCCGAACAAGGCCTTGCAGTTATTACCGTGCAGTAAGATTACATGAATAATACGAACTAACCTGTAAAATAAGGCTGTTTCAAAGTGCTATAATAAAATTCTGTAACCACGTCTATACTTCTGGAATACCAACAGCTTACCAGCGTTGGTTGAAAAACAAAACAATGCAATCTAGTCTATACATATTTCGCGGCTATAGTCCATTTTCAACAAACAGAGACCTGACAAATAAAAGAAGCCCCAACCCAAGCATAGTCAGGAGAATGTCTGCATAAAAATCTGCCCGGGTAAAAAAAATAACACTGATGTACTGGATAAAATCATAAAACAATTTTGAAGCAAATAACAACAGGAACTGGCAAGCCATAAATGTTCAGGTGCCAAAATTGAATTTAAAAAACTCCACCCCTCCTTACTGGAACTGGTCTAAAAATCATCAGGGCAAAACCTACATTTTAAAACCTTTCATGCTACATCACATCTCAATCCTAGAACTTGAAACGCTAATCCTTACTCGTCCCTCGTCCCTCCCACTTAACAACATAATCTCTTCAAAGGTCAACCAAATAACCCCCGCATTTGCACACCCTCTGCAGCAAAGCAAACTTCTAGTCTGCGAATTTGTTCTACACCAACTTGTAACAAATACTGATTGCCTCACGAGCAAAAATCTCGACCTCAGAAAACACAACTACTACCAAACTAAGAGAACTTAGCGCCTGAACTCGACTGTGCTAAGATGCATCACAAGAACAATTAAGACATAAAAATCAGAGTGTTCCGTCGGAAACTTTATTCCTCCTCAACCTCTTTCGAGCCAGCCACCAATCTGACAAACATCTCTCAAATTAAAAGCTACTATACTTGCCCTGTCTACCAATACCAACATTGACCTTGAAAAGGTTTAACAAACAAGACTAGGAGTGTTGTGAAAAGCCACGCAACAAACTGAACTAAGAGTTCCCAACGAAAACCCGAACTATTATGCCAACTTC